GGAGCAAAATTGATGCAGAAGGATTGGGCTTCAAACCAAGAAAGTAAATAAACTCCACAAGCAGTGAAAATCGGATTTGAAAAAAAATACTTTCAGAGGGCTTCTAGCATTAGAAGAATGCAGCAAGATTGTTTGGAAGGGAGAAAGAAGACAGCCCACATATGAAAATAAAAATAGAAAATAGTGGGAAAACAAAGTAAGGCAAAAACGCAAGAGTTGGAAGGAGTAATTTTCTGTTCTGTTAGAACACTGCCTGTCTTAGGGATCAACCTGATGTTTGCTCTATACCTAAGGCTCCTCACCCTGCAAGCCTCATCTGAACTGCCCTGTCTCCAAACTCCACAGCAGCAACAGGGGAATCTTCACAGCTCCAGGAGATTTCCCCTTGGGTTACAGTCATAGAGAAGTAGGGCTGGAAGGAGGTCATCTACTCCAGTCCCCTGTCTGAGGAAGGATCATCCGTATCCAAACCATCGCATATAAACTATAATCTAAATTCTACGTAAGTCTGCTTTTAATTGTGACACGACATTAGGTATGCATGCCATTGTCTTCTCACCTTTTGACTAAGCTATGTTCCAAAATTGTGAAGATATGTACAGACAAAATAACATTATCTCTACAGTGAAGAAAGTGACACAAATGAATACAGCTTATCATTAGCTTTTGAAAAAGATCAAACATGGGGTAGGTTTGTGGCAGGAACCAGGACTGGGTTTGTGACAAGATCTACAGACTTATTTTCTTCTTCATGCAGCTCAGTAGGTAGAGACCATTTTTCACTGATCTTCAGACAGAGCAGGGACAAATAGCAGGTGATCCCATGGTTGCTGGGTTCTCATAGAGCTTGAAGACTTTTTCACATCCAGTTCTGGAAAACAAGAACACAGGCAAGAATGTCCAAACTCCTAGCTATAGCAGACAGAACATCTCTGGTTTCTTAACAAATACATGATGGTTGGAACACCTCAGCACTTGTCTAACTCCTGCCCTACCCACTAGTGTCTACAAGATTTCTTCAGACCCAGAAGTACATCAGTGAAACTGCTTTGGGCTCATGCTTCTCCACCCTCTGTTGGGCCTTTCATCTCTCGTGCTCTGGCATGCATCTGCAGGTAAGGTGGTGACAAGGCATGTTTTCCTCCTCAATGCTGGCACCACCACTGCAGCAGTGTAGACAAAGTTCTTAGTTTGCATATTCTGGAGGTTGCTGGTGGCTTCCAGCTATGGTACTAGGAATTTTAAATGTTCTATGATCCTGTTCTCACTTTAACAGCATCAGATGTTATCCCTTGTTCTCCATACCTCAGTACCTTATGGAGTTACCTCCTTTTCCAAAAGACTCATGTATTTGTTAAAGGTGCCCGTAGATTCATATATTCATAGATGTAGGGTCGGAAGGGACCTAAGTAGATCATCAAGTCTGACCCCCTGCCCTGGGCAGGAGAGAATACTGGGCTCATATGATCCCAGCTAGGTAATTATCAAGCCTCCTCTTAAAGACCCCCAAGGTAGGAGACAGCACCATTTCCCTTGGAAGCTGGTTCCAGATCCTAGCCGCCCTGACTGTGAAGTAGTCCCTTCTGATGCCCAGCCTGAACATACTCTGAAACAACTTATGGCTGTTATTCCTTGTTACTCCAGGAGGTGCTCGAGTGAACAGGGTCTCTCCCATTCCCTGATGGTCCTCCCTGGTAAGTTTATAGATGGCCACCAGATCCCCTCTCAGCCTTCTCTTGTGAAGGCTAAACAGGTTCAGGTCCTGTAGCCTCTCCTCATAGGGCCTGCCCTCCTGCTGTCCCTGGATCATGCAAGCGGCCCTCCTCTGGACCCTCTCAATGCTGTCCACATCCTTCCTAAAGTGCGGCACCCAGAACTGGACACAGTACTCCAACTGTGGCCTGACCAGTGTCGCATAGAGTGGGAGGATCACCTCCTTGGCCCTGCTTGTGATGCATCTGTGGATGCATGACAAGGTGTAGTTAGCCTTACTGACTGTGTCCTCACATTGGCGGCTCATGTCCATTTCGGAATCGATAATGACTCCAAGATCCCTTTCAGCTACTGTGCTTTTGAGAAGGGAGTTCCCCAGCCTATAGGTATGTTGCTGGTTCTTACTGCCCAAGTGCAGTACCCTGCACTTGTCAGTATTAAATTCCATCCTATTCCCATTCGCCCACCCCTGTAACCTGTCCAGGTCCCGTTGTATCCTGTCCCTCCCTTCTAGCATGCCCACCGTGCCCCAAATCTTGGTGTCGTCAGCGAATTTGAGCAGGGTGTATTTCACCCCCTCATCCAAGTTGCTAATAAAGAAATTGAACAGTGCAGGCCCAAGGACCGAGCCCTGGAGGACTCCACTGCCCACATCCCTCCAGGTCGAATATGACCCATCCACCACCACTCTCTGGGTGCGGCCCCTCTGCCAATTTGCAATCCATTTGACTGTGTAGGCATCAATGCCACAGTCGCCTAGCTTTTTAATGAAAATGAGGTGGGAGACTGTGTCAAAGGCCATCTCTGAAACTGCATAGCCAGACTCCTTCCTTCAAGTGGCAGGAAATCACCTGAACTGACAAATAAGGTGGAGGAAGGAGAGAGAGTTAAGTAGACATTTTGCCTCTTTGAGAATATCAAGAAAGTAAATTTGGCAGAAGTTTAGAGGAAAATACTAGAGGTTAGATTACGTAGAGTTTAGACATATACAGTGTAGTTTAATAGAAATCCCTTTGAATTTAATCTTGCATTTCCCCCTAATAACACCCTATTTACCAAAAGAGTCAAAAATAAAAGTTTAAAACACATGACTTATGTGAAAAGTGTGAAGGGCTGGGTTTGTGTCCTCTAGAAAAGAAAGATCGAGTAGAAACTTTTCTTTATAAAAAGCCTGTTATGAAGAGGACCGTTCTCCATTGCTCTCTGTGGCCACTAACAGAAAGATGAGAAGAATTTTTCTTTATTTGCAGCTAAGAAGATGTAGATTGAATATTAGGGAAAATACTCTTAATTGTTTGGGTGGTAATACACTGGGACAGGCTACCTAGCAAGCTTGTGATATCTCTTTTACTGATACTTTTTTATGAACAGGTTAAACAAGCATGTCAGAAATAATTGAAATATACCTGATCTTGTCTCACTGAAGGGGCTGAACCAAACAATCTCTTAAAGTCCTTTCTAACCCCCCACATTTCTGATACTTTCAAAAATTTCCATGGGATCTTGATGTGCATAAACAAAACCTTCATTTCATATCTTAATTTGAAATGACACCTCTCTCTCATACCCCTATGCAGTGGAGCTAGTTCAGATTAAACAAACAAAATCTGTAGCTCTTCCAGCTGAAACGTTAATGAAAAAAAAATCTGAATTAAGTAAAGACCAGTGCATTAATGTCTGATTTGTTCATCTGAAATGGTGATGTCAAGAAGACTGGAATCATTTAAAAAGTGTGTAATGCTAAAGTATAATGCTGATTTAAATGTCAGTATATTAAATATTTTGTGGCTGGTCAAGATGTATAAAAAAGGCGGGGATAATCATATTATGAAGAGGAAAGTCTGTGGTGACCTCACGTTTTGGTGTCGTACATAGGTGGCCCCTTTTTTCTAAATTGATCGGGTGTGGGATGATTGAAGAACTCCTGCTCATGTATTGACCCAGTAATGAGACTACTATAGATAAATGAGTACTGGAGTTAAAAAAAAATGGCTCCCTGTCTAGCCCTGTCAAGCACTGTTGGAAACAGTAGGATGAAGGATGCAGAGAGGGTCAACTGATTCAGTAGCCATCGTAGCAAAGTAAGCTGCATTATAGACGCCTGATAAACAAGGTAAAATCTTCATTTTCAGAAGGGTTGAATTCAGTTGACCCTGTCTAAACATTGACAACACTGCTTGAGGAAAAGTTCTACAGTTTTGGCAGTCAAGCTTTCCATCTCTAAAGACAGCCTCAGGGTCAAATTGTTAGCAGCCTGCTTTTCTTACAACTATTTTTAAAACCTTATGGCGAAGAATTCTTGTTTTTTGTTATTGTTAAATAATGCAAAGAAACTCTGTAAATGATTAGTAAATAGATCACAAAATTATATTTCCTCCATGCCTATTCCTTATGCAATTTTTTTAACAGATTGGTTTAGAGTTGATGAAGCTTGCAGGAGTTCACCGCGGAGAGAATCCCAATTGGTTATGTCTGTATTCAAATACTGCCTCTAGTTAAGGGTTTTAGCAGACTGCAGTGTTAGAAACCCAAGTGTTGGTAGAAGACAAAAAGATAATTCACTTTCATCTCAAGAACAAAGCTGAACAGAAAAGCTTTTTCAACTTTCTTAATTCATGAAACATTTATCTTGGAGTCAGGTTATATTATAGTAGCATGAATGTGGTCTGTCAGCATTTCTATTTTACAAACCCCTGTTTTAGGGTTTTATAGGAGAGCCTTTAAGGTTCACTTTGAACTGACTCAGCATAGAAGGTCTAGGTCTGGAAATATATGTTTTTTTCTTCCCAGTTAAGAAGATTGAGTTTGAATGTTCTTATCTTAGAAGTGTGCTCATTATAAAATGTACATTAATGCTGCATTAAGGTGAAAATTGAAATGCACAAAAGTGAGAAAATTCTGAATCAAATGTCCCTAAAGCAAGGTTTCTTTAGTTCCTTCTCTATCGTTAATAATGATATTACCAACATTAATGTATGTGCTGATTCAATGTTGGGCCATTATTTTTATGTGTAATATTACAGAATTAATGGCTATGTCTACATAGTTAATTTACTGTCGCTAGCAGTGGCACCCTCAGGCATGCTGCTCTGATCTGGGCAGACTGCTTTCTAAACTGGAGGTAGTATAGTTGTAGCTGCTTGGGCAGTTTAATTAAGTTGGGAGTGGGTTAATTGGCAATGTCAGTCATCATCAGTGCTAGTTAGCTATCCCATGTACCACACAGAAGCAGCTAGAGTGTTTCTGGTTTAGAAAGCAGGCTTCCCAGAAAAGAACTATATGCTCAAGGGCGCTCTAACAGGCAGCAAGTCCACCAGATGGGCAGAGCTATATCTTAATTTTGCTATAGTTTAATTTTGATTTTACTAACATTTGCATGCTTAAATCCCCAACCCAAGCAATTCACTAACAAACTTTTTTCTGTTGAAAGGGATGCTGGTATTGTGGTGTGTACATGAGACTAGAAGCTGAGAGAATTGAGTTGTATTCTCATCTTTGCTACAGTTATTTCGTGTGACATTAGGCATGTCACTTAGTTGCCTTGTCTCAATTACTCCACCTGGAAAGTGGAGTAAATTACTGCTCGCCTACACCATATGAGTGTTATTTCTAAAGTGGTTTGAGAGGCTGGGATGAAAAGTACCAAATAAATGAAATGCAATACTTGTTTATCTTTATTTTTAGAGGAGGAACTAAAAGATTTAGGACTTTAATTTTGAATGTGAAAAGGCCTATATTTATTTGAACATAATGCATACACTCATTTGCTCATGTATATTCCTTTGAACTTGCTGTCAGAACACAATGACAGTGAAAGTACCAACAGGTATAACTGAAAGCAGGAAGTATTTTTTTCAGACCTTTTAAAAAACTTTAGCAGTTTTCTAAAAATATTTTTTTGTTTATCAGTTTGAAACCAGGACCAAAATTTGTTGGCAAAAATAAAATCAGAGACAGATTAAAACACTCCAGTGTTTCAGTTTCCAGGGACACTTATTGCAGGCTCAGTACTGCATGTTTACAAATGAGTAAAAGCTACCAGCTAGAAACCAACTAGCCTTTTTTCAGTGTTAGTTGGTTGGTCAGCTCAGCTGGCAGCAGGGGTAAATGCAGGGTACAAAAATCTGAAGCTCCTCTGAGGCCATGCAAGTTTATACA